AGAGAAAATACAACTATAAACAAATACATGACTTTTTTCCAAAAGGCCACTTTGTGATAAAGTATATACACATAGTGTTCGTGGTTTTTTTTTAAAGTGCTGTATCATCTCTGGTTTGAGAACCATCTATTGCTTTAAAAGGCCTTTGAACGCAACTCCAGCGCTGTTGTCAGGTGACACTGGCAAAAGTGTAAATGTGGGCAAAACATCTGAGACGGGTTTCAAGAGAAGATTCCCAGGCCCACCAGGTCCAAGTCCAGCTGGGTTAATAAGAGTCACAGCTGCAGAGCGGGAAGCCAGGAATGGATTCATGTCTGTTCTTCTACCAGACCTGGATTCTGTTGTATAAAAATGATAAAATATGGATTATTTAGTCTCCACCCTTCACAAATAAGTCAAGTTGAAAAAACCCTCTGAATATAAGGAATAGCATAAGGAAAGTTATTCTTATATTGTTAAACTGACTAATATAGACCTATATGAATAACCAATTTACCACTACTATCAAATTTAAAATCCTACCTGGCTAGTAATAACGCTGGTATTTAGCACATTTTTTGGAATACTCTTTAATTACTCAAAATGAAAGTACAAATAGGCCTCAATTTCTAAACACAAATACTAATTTATATTACTAAAATCTGATTAAAGTTCAGCCTTGATAATTCAAAACATTTTCTGATAAAAACAATGTTAGACATGTGTTTTAGGTTCCCAGATTTGCCCCCAAATAATTTTAACTCATATACTGCTGGACTCTGAATCCCACACGCAGGGTCTATGAAATATAGAAGGGTAAAAGAGGACAAGAAACAAGTGAAAGAAATGGGAGAAAGGGGAGAGAAGAGTATTTCCATGCATATTTAATATTTTATTAAACACATTAACACTGTTTTATATTTAAATACCAGTTATATAACTGATAGACCTCATTTACTACAATAACAGCTTTTAAAAGGTCTGATCTATGCTGCAAGGCAAGCTACTTACCCAGCAGAAAAATGAAGAACTTGAGAACTTAATATATGGATACCTTACCTGATCCTCTTTTAGGCATTCAAAAGGTTTGAAAACAATTCTCAATTACATTGTTTCTCTAAAAAGTTGAGCTAATACAGTTCCCTTTTCTTGGAATAAGTACTTAGTTTATGACCTAAAGTCTTAGTGGGTAGAATCCTGCTTTATTACCCAAGACCACTAACAAGTTCATGGATAAGAGACAAGCAACCCTTTGAAGGTGCCCACTTCACCAATGGGAAACTCAAATAAAAGAGGCCTCCCAGAACAAAGAAAGCATGGAAGCAAATTCATCAAATCTCCTCATTACTGAGCACCCCTGAGTTCCCAAGCTGTATTTTCCTGTGAATGACAACTTTCCTAACTCTGAGAAAGCTTCTGGTGATACCTAGTAAAAGCTCTGGCACACTTCCAAATCCAGGATTAAAGATTAAGCTTGCTTTTTTTCATGCAAACCCTTTATCAACTGAGATCATCACTGCTTTTGTCTCTGATCAATAGAAATCAAGTTGAGCACAGAACCTGATAAAAGAAAGGGGAGAGGGTGAGAAAGAGAAAGGAAAGGGAGAAGACAACTCTGCCATAATGAATTAGGGAGTCTGCTTCAAGATGCTACAGCCCAGTGTAAGAAGAAAAAATGCTTTCTGTATAGTCCATACCTCTTAGATAAAGTTATAACTTTTCACTAAATTTAGTACATAAAACTTTTACCTAATCAACAGATAAATTTTACCACTTTCTTTTTCTATAGGAGTTCAGAAAAATAGAAACATTTGTCTGAATAACTAAGGACGTTTTTAAAATTTCAAGAGTATAAATTCTTTAATGTTTTATCCAAATTT